GGAGCGTGAAGCCGCGCGTGAGAGCGAAGACCGTTCCAGCGTACAGCCGGCGCGGCCATCAAGTGAGACGTTCTTCACGAGCAAGAGCCGACCATGACCTTCGACCGGGCGGCGGAGAACGTCCCATTCTTGAATTCGCGATTCCAATCTCTTGTGCGCGCTGCGCGCATCCATCTGCTGGCTGCGGAACATTCTCGACGTCGTCGCACAGGAGATTTCTTGTTGATTGAGGGAGAAGTGAGTGCGCGTGATTTGGAATTGAGGGCGATTAGAGTTTGCCGAGAGAGAAAGAAACCCGTGCGATGCGGACAGATGTTCCGTTTGCGCATAGACGAGCCTCCGCGGACGGACGAGCCTCCGCGGACCGGCGAACACAAGTGGACGTGGATCTACGCTTACGCGTGGGAAGGAGCAGTCCGCCTGTGCACAGGCGCTCACCTGTGCACAGGTCGCCTGTGCACAGGACGCCTCCACACGTGCCGCCTGTGCACAGGCAAGAATCACCCCCGTTCCAACGTAGGAAGGGGAAGGAGCCGGCGGAAGAACCGCCTACGAGACACCGGCCCTCGGGGCCAGACCCTCCGGCGCACCACGCGCCGCAATTTGCGCCTTCGGCGCCGGGGCCTTCGAGCCGAGGAGATACGAGCAGAGAGCGTGCGGAGGCCGCACCATCGGCGGGAAGTCCGCCGATAGATGCGCCTTCGGCGGTAGGGCCTATAGGCCAAGGAACATCGGGCGTGCGGCCCCCGGCCATGTCGCCTTCGGCGATAGATGTCCGCGGCGCTACGCCTGCGGCGGACAAGGCGCCGGCAAATGCGCCTGCGCACGGGCCGGGCACAGCCCCCACGGACCGATCAAGGGAGCGGCAACAGACGGAGGAGCGGAGTGACTGTCCGCGGGATGAAATCTCGATGCGCGATGCGCAATCAAACCCCGCGCAGTCACCCTCCGCTCGATCGCCTTCGGCGGCGGACGACGGCGGCAGAGAGGACGCGGTAGACAACCAACAAGCGAGAGACGGGGATGCCGCACGGGTACATTTGCCTTCCGCCTTAGACATTTTGGCGACGAGCAGCGAGGCTGCAGCCGTGCCTTCGCAGGCAGCACACGTCGATGACGTGCAGCCCCACTCGGGGCAGTCGCCGACGCAATCAATGGCGACTGAAATTCTCCACTCGGATGATGACGACGGAGGCTCCACGGAAGAAATGTCAGGAGCAGAAGACACCGAGGAGGAGGAGGAGGAAATTGTTGGAGCGCCGGCGGCGGCGCTCTCTGAGCAGGTGATTCCGTTGCTGCGGTACTTGGATCGCAAGGTCGATAAATACGCCGACCCACTCCAGCCGGGATCTTACATCGAGTTAGTGCGCAGGCGGACTCGCACTAAAGTCCACACCAGCAAGCTATTAGCTAGAGTGGACCAGGAGTTGAAGGAATTGAAGGAGAAGCATGCGTGCTTGTGGGGTCAGTACAAGCTTAATCAGAAATTCTACAAGCACTCCGAGAAGATGAAGGATGAGAAACTGGACATGCTCACCAAGGAGCAGGTGAAGGTCAAGGAAGCACTCATTTCTGAGCAGGCCCAGAATCAGATTTTGTCAGAGGAGCTCGTGCGACAGACGCGGTTGTTGGAACAATGTCAGCTCGCACGGCAGGCGGATGAAGAGTTAATCCGCAGGTTACAGTTAGAGTGTGGCGAATTGAGAGCGCAACGTGCTGAAGCCGAATCGCAATTAGTGATAATTGAAGAGGATCGCAGGAAGGAAGCGGATCGCACGAAGGTGGAGACGGCGAGGCGAGTCGCCCACTGTCTCAAGGGCTACGCCCACTGGGAAGTGAAGGCGCAGGAGAAACTCACACTGCGTGAGTTTGAATTGCGCGCAGCCGGGTTGTTGTCAGGCGACAGTAGGAGTCGGCGGAAGGTAGCAAAGAAGCTCGATGCCTTTCTGTCGAAGGCACAGGATACCATGTCCGCCCTCGAAGGGGAGGTGTCCGCGGCGTTGCAGCGGTTGGGACTGCGCAGTCGAGCGGAAGATTGGCAGGGTAGGGAGTTAGTGCGCGGCAGTCGGCCGCGCAGGAGACGTAGTACAGGTTCCGCGGAGTGTAGTGTAGCGTGGTTCCGTGCAGGCGTGTAGCGTAGTGCAGTGTAGTGCTAGGTAGGACTTAGAAGGTATAAAATAGTTCCAGGCGTTTTGCCTGGGGTTCTTTCCCATCAAAAGTGCAGATCAGGAACCCATTTCCTTTGCGTGTTTGTGTCCTTGAGTTCTGTCACCACGCACGAGGAGTTACAACTTAGCGTTCCGCATTTTGTAGCTGAAGGCCTTCGGCCGAATGTTCAGAGCTAGTACATTGGTTAGAGACTTGAGTAGTTCGGATCTGTACCTGCGGGTGACTGCCGATGCTCAGAGCCAGTGACTAGTTAGATACTTGAACAGTTTCGCCCCTACACCTTCGAGTGTTTCTTTCTGATTGTACTCCTTTGGATTTTTCCCCTGAATGCCAAAGTGAAGTTTTGCTACTTCGTGTAAGCCTTGGTTGTAAATTCAGGTTACGCTGCAGCAGGTGCTTTGAGGGTAACCCCTGTAGTATTTCTGGGAATGACAAGTGCCTGAGAATTCAAACTCTTCAATAGACTGTTGTTGTGTTACTGGAATGTTTCACAGTGAGTCCTTCAGTGCGGACCTGTGTTCTCTGCGCGTTTCGTGAGTTGAGAGTGTTGTTCACCGCGTAGGAGTGACTTCGATCCGAAGTAGGCAGTCCAAACCGGGTTTCCTACACTAGCAGCAAGCTAGTGGAAGTGTTGTAAAAGCCGGAGTTGGAAGTCACTGCCCGCAGCTTTGCCGAGTGTGCTCGCGAGAGACTTTCCCCCTGAAATCTTGAGTAGAGGTCCTAACGGATCTTTGGGTTGTGTTTCTGTAGTTTCAGGTGTGTGTGTGTGTGTGTGTGTGTTACGCTGCACTGTGCGACCTCCGAGTGCGCTCCGAGTGGACACTTGCAGTATTTCTGGGAGTGACAGTCGCCTGAGAATTCAAACTCATCAATAGTCTGTTAAAACGTGACACTTTGTACCCTGTGTGTTCCTCTGTCCCTGTGGGTTCGACCTTTCTACCACTATATTGCAGTTTTAGCCTTTAGTGGGTTATTACAAAGGTGCAGCGGGGTCCGTTGCTCTTGCAGACGTCCGCGCTCCCTCGTTCTTCTCTGGCGACGCACTTCCTTTCTCCGTCGCAATCGTCGCCGTGTCCGCGCTGCTGGCTGGTAACACAAGCCTGCGCGCCTTCTGCTTCGGCCGGCTGTATGCTTCGTACAACGGCCGCGGTCGAATGGGAGCAGTGGGTTCTTGATGCTGCTCCTCTTCGGACTCCTCTCTCCATCGCCGCTTCCGCGGCACTCTTGCTGCAGGAGTATTTCTCCCTTCGTCCCTCCGCCTTGACGGAGTAGAAGTCGGCGACTCCTCTGCATCAGTGTCGACCTCGTTCTCCCGCACATACCTCCTGAGATGGTAGACGGACAACGGCGGAAAACGAGCAAGCTCCGCCGCGGTCAAACAATTTCGCTGTCGATAAAAATTGATGAGGAAAGGAGAGAGATGATTTAGAGTTCCCCCTTCTCCTCAAAAGCGTGCTGTCGCATCACCCTGTGCAGGATGCTCGCCTAGTGAATTGGAGCTCCCTCGATGATGCACTCCACAAAAGAGACCTGCCACAATGTGATGTAGCAGGCGCGGTGTGGCTGCAGTCATTGCAGCAGCGCCGTAGCCACAGTTCGGCGGAAGCGATCCTTGTAATCGCGGGTCTTGTACCCATTCTTGGTAGACTTCTCCCGCTTGAACAGCTCCACAAATTGCGCCTCGTCCTGCTTGGACACCTTGACGCTCTCACTATCAAAGAGGAGGTGCCCTGGGATGCCGGCACATCTCCCCAATGCCTGCGCCCAATCTTGGACCGTCCACCGATCGACATGCGGCCGCAATCCGAGCGTAGGTGGTCCTTGTGGCTCTAGCCACTCGCGCACCATATCCACACAGATGTAGTTCCATCCCCATAGCAAGAAATCGAGCTTTCTTGCTATCAGGCGCTCCTCGAAAGCGCGCAGCCCGTTCTGTGGTAGTCGTAGCGGCAGCATCCGCAATCGGCCCAGTCTCGTCATTGCGTTCTTGGAGTTCGCCTGCTCGCTAATTCTCCTTCCGCTCCGCTCGAGCTCCTTTCTTCCTTGGCAAACTCTAATCTCCCTCAATTCCAAATCACGCGCACTCACTTCTTCCTCAATCACCAAGAAATCCTCTGCGCGGCGATGTCGAGAATGCTTAGCAACTAGCAGATGGACGCGCGCAGCTCGCACTAGAGAATGGAATCGCGAATTCAAGAATGGGACGCTCTCCGTCTCCCGGTCGAAGGTCATGGTCGGCTCTTGCTCGTGAAGGACGACTCAATTGATGGCCGCGCCGGCTCTACGCTAAAACGGTCTCCGCTCTCACGCGCGGCTTCACGCTCCGCCGACGCCGATTTAACTCTCACGCTCGAATTGGCGAATTTGAACTCCGCAAGCGTACTACGCCGCGGACGTGGGGGCGTAGCGCCGAAGGCGGATTTTCCGCCTTGCGCGTTACACTCGTTCGTACCGCTCCTCAATCAATCCTCCTCTACCTCGGCGCTTGTCCGCACGTCGGACAAAAGTTCAACTCCCGCCTGTACGCAGGCGGACTCCTCGGCGGATTCTCCGCCGGCGCGGAACTTCACCCGCCTGTGCGTAGGCGAAGTCCGTCCGCGTCGATGCGCTGGCGCGGAAGGCGTTGACCGCGGTCAACCGACTCCGTCCAGACTGTCCGTTCCTTGTCTCTCCGTCGGCGCTCTCGCCGCCGCAACTCCGTCCGACCAAGAGCGCATCCAACCGTCCCGTCCGTACAGTCCGTACGGTCCGTACGGATTTTACTATTCTGGCGGCTCCTTGCTCGTCCGCGCCGTTGCGCGGACGTGGAGGCTGTCTTTTCTCCAGGTTCAAACCGAAACACAAACGGGACATTGTTCGTATGCTGAAGGAGGCTGGATAAGTTGTAGCTATGACCGGAGATGGAGTGAATGATGCTCCAGCATTGAAGCTTGCAGACATTGGTATCGCAATGGGAATTGCCGGAACTGAGCTCGCCAAGGAGGCGTCCGATATGGTTCTTGCGGATGACAAATTCAGCACCATTGTGTCCGCCATTGCGGAAGGTCGTTCTATTTATAATAATATGAAGGCATTCATCAGGTACATGATCTCCTCGAACGTTGAAGAAGTTGCTTCAATCTTCTTGACTGTAGCACTCGGCATGCCCGAAGGCCTAATTCCTATTCAGCTTCTTTGGGTGAATCTCGTGACTGACAGTCCTCCGGCAACCGCATTGGGTTTCAATCCCCCTGATGCCGACATCAAGAGGAACCCACCCTGAAGAAGTGATGATGTCTTGATCAATAAGTGGATGTTCTTCCGATACAAGGTTATTGGTAGCTACGTAGGAGTTGCAACTGTAGGCATCTTCGGTTTGTGGTACACTCAGGCATCTTTCTTGGGCATTCCTTTGACCTTGGATGGACACACGTTAGTTTTTTACTCACAACTGACAAATTGAGGCGACTGTCCAACACGGGAGAACTTTACCGTCGCACCTTTCTAGGCCGGTTCACAGTAATTGGACTTCAGCAAGAATCCATGTGACTACTTTACGCTAGGGAAAGTGAAGGCAACAACTCTTTCCCTCTCAGTGCTGGTGGCCATTGAGATGTTCAACTCTCTTAATGCCTGTCAGAGGATGGGAGTTTAATCACCATGCCACCATGGGTGAACCCGTATCTTTTGTTGGCGATGGCGGTGTCTTCTGGACTTCACTTTTTGATACTTTATATCCCCATCCTTGCCAACATCTTTGGCATTGTGCCCCTCAGCTTAAATAAGTGGCTGCTTGTGCTGGCGGTGTCCCTACCTGTAATATTGATAGACGAGGTTCTAAAGTTTATCGGCAGACCGCTTCTCCACTCTCTCGCTCGCCCACTGCGGCTGCCGTTGGCCTTGCTTGCTTGATTGCTCATGCATGTCAATGCGCAGACACAGCAGCGTCACGCTTGCCAGTCATTTCCTCAGACGAGTCTTCATTGCTTCGAGACAATAATCGGCTGGCGTAGATCAGAAGAGAGATAGAGGATGCAGAGGCAAAGACGAGCAGAGATGTGCTCAGTGAGCTCTGTTCAGGGGTAAGTCGCAACAATCCCTTCTTGTGCAAGGAAGATTCATCTCTTGGGGAAACTTCTTTGAAACAGCAGTTGGGCATGCAATCGCGCAGTCTTTGTTCTGCCGGCAGTTAGTGTGAAACTAGTAAATGTAGTGTCAACAAACTAGGTTGGTATCGTACTGAATATGTCAATGAAGTATGCCGTTGGGGTGGAGGATAGATAGAGAAACAGGAAGGAAGGAAGGTAGGCAGGAAGATAAGTAGATGTTTGCTAGCTGAGATGAAGGATGAGGAGAGGTGGCAATCTCAAGAGATGCCAGCCAGGTAGCCTGTAATAACCCACCAAAGGCTAAAACTGCAGTATGGTGGTAAAAAGATCGAACCCACAGGGACAGAGGCAACACACAGAGTAAAAAGTGTCACGTTTAACAGACTTTTGTAGAGTTTGAATTCTCAAGCGACTGTCACTCCCAGAAATACTGCAGTGCTCGACTCGGAGGCTCGACTCGGAGGAGGATGCTCGACTCAGAGGATGCTCGACTCAGAGGATGCTCGGAGGATGCACAGTACAGCGTAGTCACTCAACACACACACACACACCTGAAACTGGCAAAAGCACAACTCGGAGGTCGGTCAGGACCTCCGCTTCGGATTTCAGGGGGAAAGTGTCTCAAAAGTTCACTCAGAGGTTCTGCAGGTAGTGACTCCCACTCCGGCTTTTACTGCCCTTCCGCCAGGAACTAGCGTAGGGAACCCGGACTGGACTTCCCACTTCGGAACGAAGCCCCTTCATACGCCGTGGACGTCACCCTTGACTCACACCAACCGCAGGGGGTACAGGCCCGACTGAGGACTTAACTGAGACACAATCCAGTAACACACACACAACCTGAATTGCAAACCAAGGCTTACACGAAGTAATAAAACTTCACTTTGGCATTCAGGGGAAACTTCCCGTAGGAGTACAATCAGGATATGTCACTTGAAGCAGTAAGGGGGAACTGTTCAAGTCTCTAACTTGCAACCGGCTCTGAGCATCAGAAATCACCCGCAGGTGCAGATCCGCACTACTCAAGTCTCTAACCGGGTACTAGCTCTGAACATTCAGCCGAAGGCCTTCAACTACAACATACGGTAACTTCGCTACGCTGCAGCTTCTCTACGTGGTGCCAGGACCAAAATGCACAAACACGCCAAGAAAGAGAGTTCCTGATCTGCACTTCCGAAACTGGAAGAGTCCCAAGGCAAAACGCCTTGATCTACTTTATACCCTCAAAGGTCCTAACTAACACTACTATATCCTATCTACTACTCGCAACACTTGCACGAAACCAAACTACACTATTGCACTCTGCAGATCCGGTGCTGCGCCTCCTGCGCGCCGGACTGCCTCGCTCTCTATCTCTACCTTGCCAATCTTCCGACCGGCTGCGCAAGCCCAAACGCCGGAGGGCTGCAGTCACTTCCGACTCCAAGTGCGCCATAGTGTCGCGCGCACCCGACAAGAAGGATTCTAATTTCCTCGCTACTCGCCGCCGACTCCGACTATCACCTTCCGTCAATGCCGCCGCCCGAAGCTCGAACTCCCTGAGTGTGATCTTCTCTTGAGCTGCCACCTCCCAATGGGCGTATCCTTTTAGATAGTGAGTCGGCCGCGTCGCCAACTCTTCTCGCGCCCGGCAGCTGCCTTCCACCTCTGCTAGCTGCATTTCCGCATCCGCGCGCTGCGCCCTCAAATCCGCACACTCGGATTGCAAGTTGCGCAACAACTCCTCATCCTCCTTGCGTGTACTTTGACTTTCTTCTAAGGCGCGCTTCTGGCGCGCAAGCTCTTCTGCTAAGATGCGGTTTTGTCTCCGCTCTTCCTGCAATTCCGACTCGATCTTTGCCCGTATTGGCTCGGCATCCGCCTGGTTTTTCGTCGCCGCATCCTCCCTCTGATGTTGCAAGGTTTGGTATAGCTTCTGTGTGACCGCCAGGTGCTGTCGGAGGGTAGCGTTCCTATCCTGCAATGTTTGGCACCTAGAGGCCCAAGTGGCCACCTTGCTCCTCGTCCTGCGCTTGACAGTCTCCACGTAAGACTGCGGTTTTCCGGTACCCGAGTACTTGGATGTCTTGCGATCCAGATATCGCAGGAGTGGAACTATCTGCTCGCACAACACCCCTGTTTGCGTTTTCTGCACAGAGTCCGCTTCCTGCTCTTCCGAGCTCGTCTCATCCTCCGTTTCGAGGATTTCAGTCGCCACCGAATCCCGTGGCGACTCCCTGGAACTGTGGCGCGCAGCAGCTTCCGCCGCGACTGCCCCTCCACTCCCTGCTAAAATATCCAAGGCAGTGGGGGATCCCACTGCTTGAGCCCCTGTTCCGGCTCGATCTTCGGTTTCCGAAGGGGTCGACGCCGCAGTGACTTTTGTCACCTTTGCACCGTCCGCTTCTGCTGCCTGCCCTTCCGGCGCGATCTGCGCAGAAGGTGTCTTCGCTGGAGGTGCGTCCGCCGAAGGCGTCCGCACAATGGTCGCCGGCCCTGTCCGTCTCGCAGTCGGCGAATCTGGACGACTCTCTTTTGACCGACTCGCAGTCGGCCGACTAGCAGGTGTCCGACTGGCAGTCGGATACACCCTACGCGTCTTCACTCCACTTGGCCTGCTTGCTGGCGGCGTTTTCCCAGAAGTGCCTTCCGCCAAAGACGACCCTCTGAGGGTTGTTGGCTCGTCAGCCAAACTCCCTTCTGCTTCCGGCCTGCTGTCCGGTTCAACGCGCCGCTCCGTCGGCCTTCCTTCCGTTTGTCGACCTTCAGTCGCCCGACTTGTAGTTGGCCGACTGCCAGTCCGTCTGTCTTCTTCCGAAGGCATTGGTGCCTTCTGCGCAGAGGTATTTGCCGACTTCCCCAGAATCTGCGCGATTATCTCCTCCTGCGTGGGCAGAATACTCCGCCGGACCGGAGTACGCCCGGTCTCCTCAGTACTAGTTGGCATTTTGCGTGCCCTCTGTTTCGGTCGGCTGTGAGGCTCGTTGGTTGGCCGACTACGAGTCGGCGCAGCTGGCGCTTCCGGCTGCCTGTCCTCAGGTCTCTCATCCCACTTCCGCTTTCGCGGAGCGCGCTCACTTCGACGTTCTTCTGCTGCTCTTGCTGGGGGCGGAGCCGGAGGCGGACTGGCAGGTGTCTCGTCTGGATCCGTGTCTACTTCGGCCTCCCGCGAGTATCTACCTGGATAGCTCCGGGTCAGCAGCGGAAACCGTGTCCGCTCTGAATTTGTCAAACATCCCATCGCCCGATAAAACACAATCAGGTAAGGCGAAAGATGATTGAGGGTTCCTCCTCTCTCTTCTTGCGCATGTTGGCGCGTCACCTTCCACAAGAGCCGTGCCCAATGCACTGGAGCTCCTGACAACACTAGCTTCACAAATCCTACTTGCCAACCATGCATGTAAGCGGTCTTGGTCGGCTGTAATATCTGCAGCAATGCAGTCGCGACATTTCTCCGCAATCGATCTTTGTAATCCCGTGTCCGGAAACCGTTCTTGGGATGCCTGGCAACTTTGAAAAGCTTATTGTAGGAGATTTCTTCCTCCTTGGACACCTTCACGCTATCGGCCTCGAAGAGGAGATACCCTTCCTCACCGGCACACCTGCCCAACACCTGCGCCCAATCACAAATGTCCCACCTCTCTGGATGTGGACGGAATCCGCGTGAGGGCTTGTGTCTCTCCTGCAGATACTCGCGCACCATCTCCGGACATGTCCAGTTCCATCCTCACAGGAGGAAATCGAGCTTCAGCCCTGTCAGCACATCTTGGAATGCGCGTAGACCGATCTGCGGCACCCTGAGTGGAGACACTCACAGCTGGGGGACCTTCGACATTGCGTTTCCTGCACACACAGACGTTCTCCCTTCCGCTCGCTCTCTCACAATCGCCGCTGCGCGTCGGCCGCTCAAGCACTGACTGCTGTCTCTCTCTCTTCTCTTGCGCTCAAGTTCGCTTCTCGTAAATTCTCTCCAAGGTCTGTCAAGATGCTTGCGCAACTCGTCTCCGCACTCTCTCCTCTCACTGCAGGTCTCTCCGCCCTTGCGCGTAATCTTGGAAGCTGGAAATCGCAAAATCAAGAATGAGAGAATGAGACTGGAGAGCAGTCTTTTCTTCTCCGAATTCAAGATCGTCCAACGTTCTTACTGGTTACAATTTACGCAGCCGGCTATACGGCCTAACGGTTCGCCCTTGCATGCTCGAATT